ACATTCCAGGTTCCTATGCAACATTGCTCTTTACAGCATTGGACTTTACTTCCATCACCAGTCACATCCACAAATGCATGTTGTGTTTGCTTTGGCTCCATCTCTTCATTCTTTCTGGAGTTGTTTCTCCACTGACCTCCCATAGCATATTGGGCACCTACTGACCTGGGGAGTTTATCTTTCAGTGTCCTATCTTTTTGCCTTTTCATATTGTTCACGGGGTTCTCAAGGCAAGAATAGTGAAGTGGTTTGCCATTCCCTTCTCCAGTGGACCACATTTTGTCAGAACTCTCCACCATGATGCGTCCATCTTGGGTGGCCCTACTCATAGCTTCACTGAGTTAGACAAGGTGGTAGTCCATGTGATCAGTTTGGTTAGTTTCCTGTGACTGTGATCAGATTCTCAGAGGGCACAAACAGAACCTTGTGTGCACCAGGACCCAGGAGAAAGGAGCAGTGACCCCATAAGAGGCTGACCCAGACTTGCCCGTGAGTGTCCAGGAGTCTCAAGTGGAGGCGTGGGTTGATGATGGCCTGCTGCAGCATCGGGGGCAGAGTACAGCAGTGCATCCTTGGGACCTTTTGAAGGAGGTCACCATTATCTTCATTACCTCCACCATAGTTAGTAACGATAATCACAAAGGCTAATACTTTTACCATTTTACATGCAGTGCATTGTATAATATTCGTATCATCCTTATGAAGAGCTACAGAAGATGTGAAAACTGTAGCCTAGAAAAGGAAAAAACAAGAATAAAAACCTGTCCAGGGCTTCCCTTGTGGCTCAGTAGTAAAGAATCTGCCTGCCAATACGGGAGACACAGGTTTGATTCCTGGTCTGGGAAGATCCCACATACTGTGGAGCTAAACCTGTGTTCCACAACTATTGAGCCTCTGCTCTAGAGCCCAGGAGTTGCAATTACTGAGCCCATGAGCTGCAACTACTGAGTCCCACAGGCCTAGAGTCCTGTGCTCCGCAAGAAGAGAAACTAACTACAATGAGAAGCGAATGCGCTACAACTAGAGAGTAGCCCTTGCTCATCGCAACTAGAGAAAAGCCAGCACAGCAAGGAAGACCCAGAGAGCCCCCAAAATAAATACATTAATTAAATAAAGTTTAAAAACCTGTCCAGCCTAACAGTCATACTTAGACCACAGACATAGATCTTTTCTTCATGTTGAATCAAGGGTTAATTTCAAATCCCTAATGCTGCTGCTGCTGCTAAGTCGCTTCAGTCGTGTCCAACTCTGTGCGACCCCACAGACAGCAGCCCACCAGGCTTCTCTGTCCCTGGGATTCAGTGGGTTGCCATTTCCTTCTCCAATGCATGCATGCATGCTAAGTCGTTTCAGTCGTGTCCAAGTCTGTGTAACCCCATGGACAGCAGCCCACCAGGCTCCTCTGTCCCTGGGATTCAGTGGGTTGCCATTTCCTTCTCCAATGCATGCATGCATGCTAAGTCGCTTCAGTCGTGTCCAAGTCTGTGTAACCCCATGGACAGCAGCCCACCAGGCTTCTCTGTCCCTGGGATTCAGTGGGTTGCCATTTCCTTCTCCAATGCATGCATGCATGCTAAGTCGCTTCAGTCGTGTCCAAGTCTGTGCAACCCCATGGACAGCAGCCCACCAGGCTCCTCTGTCCATGGAATTCTCTAGGCAAGAATACTGGAGTGGGATGCCATTTCCTTCTCCCTCAAATCCCTAATAGTAACCAATTATAAAGAAGCAGGGAGCTTTCCCAATAGCTCAGTGGTAAAGAATCAGCCTGCTAACGCAGGAGACGTGGGTTCGATCCCTGGAGGGAGAAGATCCCCTGGGGCAGAGCACGGCAACCCACTCCAGTATTCTTGCCTGGAGAATCCTATGGATACAGGAGCCTGGCAGGCTACAGTCCATAAGGTCGCAAAGAGTCTGACATGACTTAACACTCATAAAGAAACAAATGGTATATATAGTTGGATGTTTTATCTCTGCTGACTCCAGACAGCTATTGGGCTCAACAGAAGCACCTTTACTTCACCTTCATGTCAGAATGAAAGGGCAGAACAGACACCAATTTGCATGAGCAAATTGTGAGGGTGAAATGCAGTAAGTGCCCAGCATGAAGTAAGTGCTCCATAATAGTTCATTGCTGTTATTATTAAGCTTCCCCCATGGCCTAGTGGGTGAAGAATCCACCTGCAATCGTGACAGGAGGCCTGGGTTAGATCCCTGGGTCAGGAAGGTCCCTTAGAGAAGGAAATGGCAACCCACTCCAGTATTCTTGCCTGAAAAATCCCATGGACAGAGGAGCCTGGCAGGTTGCAGTCCAAACGGTTGAAAAGAGTCAGACATGACTGAGTGACTAAGCGTGCACACTGTTATTACCGTTATTGTGAATCAACATCGGCAGTGTAGAATTCAGCCTGATAGACTTTGCAGATCATAGAAGCTGTTCCTAGACCACCATTTGAGAACTCCTGCCTGAAAGACACAGCAAATCATCCTCTTAAAGTTCTCTATTTATGCCTAAAGAGGATTTTCATACTGCTTTAATGAGCTCCAGGATGCTTTAAAAATATTATCTCATGATGTCACTTTCAGCTAAAGAAATGAGTAGAATCAACACTGTAACCTCCTAACTTTACTCACCAAGGCTATAGGGACTGATAGCTGCTGTGGATATTCTCTTATCTAGAACTAAATCATCAGGTTTCCAAAACCTGACATGAATTTATTGGCTGAGGGTTGGAAACAGGAAGTGGAGAATGGAGGGCTGGGATAGGCTTCATAGATAAAGATATGTAAACAATCATCATTGACTCAAATAGCCAAATCTTCTCATGAAGTCATGATACAGTTCTAAAATGCAAAAAGCAAAATAACCATGTTGGAGGGAGGAACCAAATACAGTCCAAGGATTTTGAGATTTCAGAAATGACAAGGAAAGTTGAAAGGAAATACATGTAGAAAATATAAGGAAATGACTGAAATTTAAGGGCAAGGTCAGGCTGCTATAAACCACAGGATAGTGGGTATAACTCAGAAGTGGAACAATTGATTGGGTAGATAAAACCATTTGCAGTTTCCCAGACTGGAGACATTTCCTGTCTTGGATGTCTGGATCTGTTTCAGTAACTAAGTAGCCTGGCGTTGGTGGTATAGTGGTGAGCATAGCTGCCTTCCAAGTAGCCTGACTTCAAAGTGTTCATGGGAGCAGAAAGGACAATTGACTGTCTGTTTATTCAGTGCTAGGCAGGGGGAGTGGGAGTGGAAATGGGTGTAGGAAGTAAGTCTGGGTTTAAGAGCACAGAACCACTAGAGGATAACCATTTTCCTCCAGACCAGCATCCAGGGTACTTTCCAGAGAACAGGAAAATCTGGGAGGGACAAAATTGGAAACCAAGAAGACACAAGCATCGCTGATGCTATCTAGGTATGTAGGTAAGTCACAGTGTTGTTGGGCATTCCAGGGGAAAACCTGAGAAATTCTCTTTTTTAAAAAATTTTGAGGGAACTTCCTGGTGGTCCAGTTAATAGGACTTCATGTTCTCGCTATGGAAGGCTTGGGTTTGATCCCTGGTTGGGGAACTAAGATCCCATAAGCTGTGCAGCATGGTTAAAAAAAATTTTTTTTTTTAATATTTGTAACTTTACAGAAAAGTTGCAACAATAATACAAGGAACTTCTAGTCACAATATTTAAAAATTTTCTTTCCCTCATTAAACTTTTCTTCTTTCTTTTTCTGTAAACACACAGGCACATACATACATATGATCCACATTTTTTTTTGGCCACACTACCTGGCTTATGGGATCTTAGTTCCCCCTACCAAAGGTTGAACTCAGGCCCTATCCAGTGAGACCGTGGAGTCTTAACCACTGGACCACCAGGGAAGTCCCCATATGATCTTTATTTGAAATCTTGGAGAGTAAGTTGCTTGTATCATGCTCCTGTGCAATATTTTAGGATTCATTCTCTAAGAACAAAGATATCCTCTTTGACAACTATAGTATAAATTTCAAATTCCGCATATCAAACACTGACATAGTACTCCTATCTACTCCATTGACAATATCCTTGTATTATCAATTGTCTCAAAAATGTTCTTTATAGCAATATTTTTTTCTGGTAGGGAAGGTCTTTCTTTGATAGGGGCATGAGGCTGGCATAGCAGGACAAAGGCACATACTAATTCTCTCAGCCTCTTTAGGATCTTTATTAGTAGGGGAACTCTGATGCTCATTTGTTTGGTTTACTTTGGTTTCATTTTTAGTCCCTATCCTCCTTAAAGAGTATAAAAACTAATCAGCAGGAAATACCTAAGTGCTAAGAGATCTATAGTAGTAGAAAGGATTTGACTTGGCAAGATGCAGTTTTAGCAAGGGGAAATTTGGCTCCCTCCCTCCAGTCTCCCCTCCCCAATCTCCCTTCCATATCAGCCTCAGTTTAGGAGTGAAAATGAACTATAGTACTTTTTCTATTCCTTTTGATCTTTTGGGGGGAAGGTGGGTAGCTGAGAGAATAATAAATACTTGAATGAGCAAAAATTAATTTGGGAAAAAAAATTAGGGAGTTGGTCTCCTATGGTAATTCTAGTCCTTTACTGAGAATAAGTTTCTAAAAGAATTTCTCTCAAGGAAAAAGTGACACTGTATTTGTCTTTTTACCTATTCTTTTTGGTGACTTGGAACTAATTTTTTTAAAAGTCAATTGATGCCAACCTTCCCCCCTGATTCCCCATATGTGACCCAATTATAGAACAGCTTCCCTGGTCATCTTGCAGTACTGCAGGATCCACACATTATTCCACAGCAACAGGGAATGAATGAGAGGGCAGCAGAATGGGAAAAGAGTGAGAAAGGATCTCCACCTTGGGTAAGGGATGGGTAATGTGGAGAAGAAGGAGGAGAAGACCCCAAAGACTATGCTTTCGGGGTTTTGGGGAGTTTAGGATCTCTACTGGAGCCAAGTTTCATCTCAAAGTCAGTCCTCTGTTTCCCTTCTTCCCACCAGGCAAAATGAAGCTGACTCTGGTGCAGATCTTCTTCATGATGTTGTTGCTGCTGCTGGGCCTAGGGGTGGGCCTGGGCGTGGGACTCCAGATGGCAGCAGCCGTCCTGGAGGAAAGTGATCAGCTACTGGATGAGCTTCTGTCCAGTGACTCACAGGACAAAGTTGAGGCCACTAAGGAAGGACTGGACAGCCGAAGCATGGAAACCCTGCTGGTTAGCAACAAAGAAGTGGTGCAACCAGAAGACACCATCACCAGTGAAGATGAAGTTGGCGGAGACAGGACGCTCAGAGCTGAGGTTCTTTTAGAGAACAACAAAGACTATCTTAGATCTGACATGATGGACAGGGAATGCAATGCCCTGATGGCACCGAAGTTGAAGTCAAAAGACCAGGCATGCATACCCCAATACATATTTATCCACGAGGAGCTAGATGCAGTCAAAGCTGTCTGTAAGAGTCCTGCTGTTGCCTGTGATCTCAAGGGAGGCAAATGCCACAAAAGCCCCCGTCCTTTTGATTTGACATTCTGCAAGTTATCCAAATCAGGCCAAGTGATTCCTCACTGTAATTATGTAACTTTTATTCTTGAAAAGTACATTCTTATGTCCTGTAGTGATATGAAAGTCCAGATAACATCTAAGTCATGAAGTAACACTTCTTCACCTTCTCACTTTTGTCTTCCTTTCACTTCATTTCCTTACTATTCTCATCCTTAAGTATTCTGCAAAGAAGGGTTTGGGAAGAGAAGCTGGACTATTCTGATAAATACAAAAATATAAATCTTCTTTCCCTAGGGTTCAACCAACTTGTATTTTGTTCCTGGGATTAGAGGTGGCAGAAGAGGGTGATGATGTCTGATCTCTGTAGGTTCTGTCTCTTGGAGTCTATCCCTTGTCCTGGGAAAAGATAAGACAGTCTCTTTTATAATCTTGGTCATTAGTCTGTTCCCTGGTCTGGAGGCCTTTAGATGTGGAGTACAAGAGTTTAATGCATCCTTACCCATGTCCTTCCCAGCTAGCCACCATGAGCTTCTAGGGCGCTCACATAAACCTCCTGGGCTTCCCAAGAAGCACTTCTCTGCTGTAGATGCAAATTAAAATGACTCTACCTGTGACTGTATTTGAAAAACCATATGGACCAAGTTTCTTTTCCTGATCCCTGATTGTAGGTGTACCACCTTGGTGCAGTGTTATGGTGGTGCAGACCGAGATCAAACATGTTCTGGGGCAAAGACAGTATTCATTTTCCTGACCCTTAACTCTTCCCCCTCCCATCTTTTACTACCTGTCATTTTGCATCTTTTCTTCCCTCCCTTTGTTTCTCCCTCACCCCCAGCCACTTTCTCCTAGTCTCGTTTTCCTCTTCTTTGGGGGCTCTCCCTATTCTTTCTCTGAATCCTTTTAGAAATTCATTCAACCAACACTGATCTCTTATGCCATGCCAGGTAAGAAGATGCTGGTCTTATAAAGAGTTTGGCATAGGGGTTTAGAGAGAGGGTGGGTCAGGAGAGTGAAGAGAATAGAGAACTGTTTTTTAAAACTATGTCCAATAAGTAGACTAATGCTCACATTAGATGCTCAACAGATGTAGAATGAATGGGATTGGAGGGAATTTTGTGCTTACTCAGTACCTCTTTCCTTTTTTTGTTCTGAAAAACAAGAAAATTGGTGAAAGAATATCTTCAGCAGAAAAGGGACTGGATCTACTCAGAGGAGAAATGCTATGGAGTTGAATAAATAGAGGGTGTAAGTGGTTGCCCCAGCCTATTTCCTCTGAATTCAAATCTATCAAGAAATAGTTTAGACAGGTGGAGGTACAGAACAGATCTTCGAAAATGGCAATAAGGATTCACTATGTGACTTGATTTTGAGATTTCCTTTCCCTAGGGTTTTTTCTGCTTTAGCCTTCTAGGCAGTAACACACTCAAGAGTCAGGGACATCCATAAATGGGAGACTGGAGGAAGGAAAAGTTTGTCTTACTCTGCCTGGCTTTTCTTTTCCTGTTCTTTCATCATTTAGTCCCTAATTTCCCTTATCCTTCCTGTTCTTACAGGCAAGCAACCACTTAAATGCTTTGCCTCTAGTCTCTGCTCAGATTCCCCTATTTCAAATAGAAACTATTTCAGGAAGTTCAGTTCAGTTTCCTATTTCAGGAAAGCAATTTACAAAGCCTTCTACAGGCTCCTAGTGGCTTAAGCAGGAAAACATAGCTTGGTAGGTGTAACAGGTTGATAAGATGTGGGAACTTCACTCACCAGAAATAGAAAATTAATTCCCTTGTGGCTCAGCTGGTAAAGAATTTGCCTGCAACGTGGAAGACCTGGGTTCAATCCCTGGGTTAGGAAGATTCCCTGGAGAAGGGAAAGGCTACCCATTCCAGTATTCTGGCCTGGAGAATTCCATGGACTGTATAGTCCATGGGGTCACAAAGAGTCAGACACAACTGAGCGACTTTCACACACAAAGCTCAAATGATGCCTGATTCACAGAACTTTCACAAAGTCTTCTGGCTCCAACATATCTCCCACTTTGCACTTCCAGGGTATATGCTTACTTAGCCCATGTAACAGGCTCTCAAACCTTTTCCCAATGTTCCTAAATCCCCAAAGCTCTGAAAACTGAACGGTTTTCTTTCAAAGTGGTTCCTAAACTCAGTGAGATGTAAGTCTGGCTGAACTGACTATGTTAGTATAATTATTATCCTTATTTATTCTCTATAATTATTATGGCTTCCCTGGTGGCTCAGTGGTAAAGAATCCACCTGCTAAAACAGGAGAGGCAGGTTCGATTTCTGGACCAGGAAAATCCCCTGGTGAAGGAACTGGCAATCCAGTCCAGTATTCTTGTCTGGGAAATCCCATGGACAGAAGAGCCTGGTGGGCTGCAGTTCGCGGGGTCACTAAAATTCGGACACAACTTACCAACTAAACAACAACAATGACTATTACACATTTCACTGAGGAAATATCAAAATGTCTGATTATGAATACTGCCTCAGATAAACTCTTCTGGGGATGCATAAGTAATATATCTTATACTCCCACACAATGCTGCTTTTTAAAATCCTAAAAATTCTGTTTCAAAATGCATTGGCCCTATAAGTTTCAGGTAAGGGATTGGGACCTATATATACTCTTTAGTTAGCCCTGACTTAATCTGAGTATTTAGTGAGACCATAAGCATTTTTGTGAAGACAACTCTGTTATGAATTTCTTCTATATTTTCAATACATTTATTGATCAATGGTTACCTGCTTACTGATTATCCAGTACCTCCTTAGAAGTTATAGAAATTGTATGAAACATAGAATCATGTAAGACAAGCAAGTTTTCTGACTTCTATCAAATGTTGCACACGCAAATAAAAAGACCTGAGTGGCTTAATTCATGTTCCTGAGGACTCTATGTGAATTCTTTTAAGACAAGCAGGAAAGAAACTACCATTGTCTGATGGGCACTGTATAATAGGTGCTGTCCATGCTTGGTTTTATGTAGTTCTTGTAAGGAGGTGGTATTTTATTAGTTCCATTTGGCAGGTAATAAGCAACAGTCTCAGAGAGTTCAAGTTTACCTGGATGAAGGTCACCCAACTCATAAATGGCTGATCTGTAATTTGAATGGAGGATTCTTGCTTATTGAGATGGTTTGGGAGGTGCTGGGTTAAACAGAATTAAGTAGGTTTCTTTTATGCAGTAGGCATAACCTTTAATATTAACATGACTTATGACTCTCTAATAGGCAGAGATCACATTCAGCATTTCTAAATTTTTTTCATCATGAAATTCCTCCCTTCTGAAATGGCAACCCAATCCAGTATTCTTGCCTGGAAAATTCCATGGGCAGAGGATCCTGGCAGGCTATAGTCCATGGGATCGAAAATAGTCGGACACGACTGAGCACACACAGTCTTCAGCAGCTTCTAAAACTAGTGTTTCTGGTTGAGAAAAGCTGTTACAGACTTTTCCAAGCCCTTCATCTGACTTTGTTCATCTAACACACATCATGGGGACTACCCTAAAGATTCATTTCTATGTAAAATTATAAAGCAATCTACTCAGATTATTAATTAATTCATATAGCAAGGGAGAAAAGAGTCAGCTCAGCTCTTGCTTCTGAGTACTTCAGGTTCCTTATTTGTAAAATGAGATCATGATAGTACCTACTTCATGGTTGTTATGAGAATGCTATGAGCTTAAATGGCCTTTAGTAGAGCTCCATGACTGGCAGCTGCTTTTGGTGGTGATGTTGCTGGGCTCACTGCTCGTGGAAAGCATAAGCATTTTGACAACATTCTTCTGGAAGCAGTGCTGTGATACAACATGCAATACCATTAGCTCCAGTTTCGGTTCTGATCACATTGGCTAGTATGTGAATATGTGGCGTCTTGAACTCCTCAAATTCCATCCCTTGGTGCCCATTTAATCTACATACTTGGGGCCAGTGTAGTCCTCAGACCTGAGTGGACAGGACCCTGATCTGGAGCCTCGTCCCTGAAGGGTCCCCTATTCTTTGAACTGCCTTTTACTTAGGAAGTTCCCCTCTGGTGTCTGGGACTGACTGGGGCCAGCAGTGCCATCTGAATCAGGTATCCTGAGCTTGGGCTGGGACTTCTGTGGGCCTGAGTCCCATTTCTCCCCTTCGGGACACTGCTCCCTTATCCCATGTGTGTGGCCAAACAGCTGCCCCATAAAAGTTCACCTATGGACCCTGAAGCCAGGCCCTGTTTCCAGGAGGGTGCCTGGTAAGTGGACAGTTTCTTCTGGCTGGTGTGGTATTTCTTTTGTGGGATCACACAGCAGTGGGTCACCAGAATGGTGCTGAAAAATTGATTTTTCGTGACTCAAATATATCCTGGACACAGAATGAATTTAGGACTCTGGGTTACCAATGGTCACTATTCACCCTTGGGCTTGAGAGCCTAGATATGAGGCTTTCCCAGGACCCACGTTCATACTGCTCTGCTTCTTCTATCTACAGCAGTTGAGGATGAGAGGCAACATACACGTGTCCCTACACTGTGAGCTCCCCACTGCTCCACCCAGGGTGGACCCCACCCCTTTGCAGGCTCCACACCATATGAGGCATTGCGGGCTGCTCCTATCGCCTATAAAGACTTTTGAGATCATTGCCCTGCAGTGCCAGTGGGGCACTTCAGATCAGTGCCCTCTCTTGCCTCTGATTAACAGGTGATGACATGTTCTCTTAACCTGTGCAAGATGAAGTATGGTCATTCCTTGTGTGAATGGATTGCTCTTTCGCTCTGCCTTGCCTGTCCTCCTGGATGGTGGCAATGTGTGGAAGGCAGGAGTATGGTGTGGTCAGTTATGAAGGAGGTGGCATTCTAGGAATGTGATCATCATGGCCTAAAGAGTTCAAGAGAATTGTACACCTGAAACTAATATACTATTGTAAGTCAATTATGCTCCGATTAAAAAAAAGGAAAACTTTAGAAATTCTTAAGTCAGTTCTCAAGAAAAAAAAAAAAGCAGTTCAGGAGAAGATATGGTTAGAAGATGTGTTGTTTTATGTTTACACTATAAAACTCCAGATGGCAAATTTCCCATGGCCAGAAATTTATTCTCATTTTCCTGTCTACTCTTGGTGCTATGGTCTGAATATGTATCCCCTCCAGAATCACATGTTGGAATCCTGATGCCCCATGTGATGGTGTGAGCAGGTGGGACCTTTGGGAGGGAATTAGGACTTGGAGCCTTACAAATGGGGTTAATGTTTCTGCAAAAGAGATCCCCCCGAGCTCCCTTGCCACTTCTGCTCTGACCATGCTGGCACCCCGATCTTG